CCGCGCCCCGCAGCTCCGCGGAGCCTGCAGGCGCCGGCAGAGGGGCCGCCGGTGCGGGAGCGTCCACAGTGGCCCCGGGGCCGGGCGCTCGGAGGGTCGGGACGTGGGCTCGGGGAATGTTCTTTCGGTTTATGGGCTTGCGCCTGCAAATGCAGCCACCCTCGCTTCTGCAGGGGCTTCCCAGGCTTCGGGATGGAATGAATTCCCCCGTGCACCCAGTTTCCGGGGAAATGGAGCGCGTTTTCTCCGCTGACTTGCGGGTAGGGGGGAAGGTCCCTCAGGACTTTTTTTTTCTCCCCCCAGGCGTTGGCGTCCAGATTCTCCCCGCGGGCGACAGGGTGGCGAGGCTGGGCGTTTGCGTCTGAGGCCGCTCTTACTGCTAGAATGCACGTCCCTGGCTGTCTTGTGCACACACCCACACGCACACCTTCCGGCCTCGGTGGCGCGTGGCACGTACTGGGCGCTATTTGAGGCTCTGCACGTCCCCCAGGAAGACACCAGCTCACAAAAATACACTTGGGTGTCTCAAGACTGATTGCAAGATTTGGGAAAGCAGGCGAAACGGTGGTTTTGAATTTGAAAAGCCAGTCTTTTTTATCGCGCAAAGGCGCAAAGCAATTTATAGTTGTTTCGGTTCCGCTCTTGTGGCTTGCTGACGTTATAGTCCCGTCAGTGAGGGAAACTCTGGTAGTGTTGTGGATACAAGGCATTTTTTCATTTTGCAAATAGCTCCTCAGCTTCTAGGCCTCCTTAATTATTGATCGCAATGCCATCTTAACACACTTGGGATGTCACGCCACACACTCAGAACTGCCTGAAGCTAATTCTTCTCAGTCCCCGCCCACCACACGTTATACAACCTCCCGGGCTCCCACTGAAGCTTCTGTTCCGTCTCACCTTCATCGCCAGCCCCGCAGCTCTTCCTTCCAGCCTTCTCTGCTCCGCTGTCTAGGCTGGGTCCCTCCATCAGCAGTCTGGGGTTTGCTCTTGCTGGCACCTCAGGCTTCCTTTCCCCCGGATACTCCACCACCTGCTACCTGTCAGTACCCCAGGTCAATCCCACTGTCGGCACTCTGCTCCTGCTCACAGGTGACTGAGCTCTCTAGGGCTCGTGTAATCACAGAACTGGGGCTTCAACCACCGACGCTCCTTTCAACCTCAGTTGTCTTCACTGGGGTACATGGCTGCCGCTTTGCCTCTTCCCTCCTGGGGCCTCATGATCCAGGGATAGGAAGCCATCTGACCCACTCCCGTCTGCCTTCCGGAAGTCCCTTGGACATTCAGTTCCTTCCCCCATCGTGACAGGCCAGCCTCCCTCAGAAATCATCACGTGAACCTCCCCTCTGGAGTCCTGTCAGTTTTCCCAGCCTCCAGCATCTTCAGTGAGTCAGCCCTTCTGGTGTCTCTGCAGCCATGTAGAAGTTGGGTACATGGGTGAGAGGAAAGGACAGATTGGGGTGGAGGAGTCTTTCGAGTCCAGATTGGCGTCTAAATGAAATCAGATGTATTTCACCCACTGAAGATTAGTTTTCTGCCAAAAATGAGATCTACGTTAAAAATTTACATTTCTCCTGCTTCCTAACGTTGCCTGTCGTGCATTCATTCATCCATCCGTACTGAGTGCCCACTTTGTGTGTGGTACTGTGCCGAGGCTGGAGGATGCAAAGGTGACCCGAAGATAATGCGGTCCCACCCTCCTGGAGAGGGGAGAGGCAGACAAAACGCAAGTCAAATAGTTACAGGTGTATAAATGTTTGGACGCATCCTTTGATAAGGAAAAGGGTGAGGTCTGGAAAGGCTTTTTTCTCAATTAGGGGAGGGACTTTAAGATCAAGATGGGTGAATAGATGGTTCAATTAGAGCCAGACAGGAAAGGGTTGAGACCCCTCCCTTTGGTGGTAGACTCAGAGGAGAGAGTTTGGGGTGGGGTGGGGGACACCCAATTTTCTACCACCTACTACGTAGAGGGGATTTATCTCTGGAGGCTTTGAGCAAAGAACTGTTTTAAACTTCTTTGTGGTTCCCTGGATTCAAAGCATAACCTGCAAAAATGTCTCCTCCAGCCCGAGTGGGGGGCTCCCCAGTCCTGGCCCCTCGGGAAACCGCAGGAAGTTGCTGTTTATAGTTCCTCTGTCCCTTTTCAAATTTGCTCTCAGACCTGTTTTCTCACCTGGTCTGTGTCATCTGGATTTGCTTGTTTGTTTACTAATTTACTTAAGGAGCCCTGGTGGTGTAATGGTTACGCGCTCAGCTGCTAACTGAAAGGTAGGTGATTCCAACCCACCTGCTGCTCTGAGGGAGGAGAGACCAGGTGATTGGCTTCTGTGAAGATTACAGCCTAGAAAACCCTGTGGGCAGTTCTGCTCTGTCCCATGGGGTCGCTAGGAGTCGGAATCGACTCAACGGCACACAGCAACAACTCGTTTACTTAGTCAGTGGAGAGCTGCCTTTGCTGTGGGCATAAGGAGGACCTGGCCCACGTAGGGCCTCCTCAGAGGTGAACCAGAGGGAAGATCCCAGAGGGAAAAGAGAAGAGTTATCCTTAGACCCAGCTCCAGCATTTCCACATGGAAGAGGCTTAAGAGTGGCTAGCTGTCCGGGAGGGACAGAAGCTAGCCCTGAGTCTTCAGCTGTTGGTTCATCAGAGCCTGGGCCACTGTGGAGGTCCCTTTCTCTGCCAGCCTGCTGTTGAGTGCAGGGCATCTCCATCAGGCAGGCCTCAGAAGTGAGGCACAGGAAGGTGCCGGAGAAAAGAAAGAAGAGCTGCCTCATGCTTGGCTTTTAGTCAAGTCGCTTCGTCCATTCTGAGGCAGTAGGTCTTTGTCAAAGCAACTTTCAGAGTAAGCCAGCCAGCGTTTGAAACATTCAGGACTCAGTTGTTGATTTATTCATCTAACAAACCTATTTAAAGCCCCTACTACGAGCTGGGCACTGAGCCAGACCTCGGGCACCGAGGCTGAGAAGTCACATCTCTATCAAAATGCTCAGCAATAAAGACGTAGTCAGATAAACTTAGCTGCATGACAGTGGGCAAGTTATTTAACCTCTTTAAGCCTCAATTATCTGTAAAATGGAATGTTAGTAATAGCTACCGTATTAGTTTCCTAGCTGCCATACAGATTATCACAAACTATGAGCTCTGGTGGCACCGCAGTTAAAGTGCTCGGCCACTGACCAAAAGGTCGGTGGTTCAAACCCACCAGCCACTCCGTGGGAGAAAGATGAGGCAGTCTGCTTCGGTAAAGATTTACAGCCTTGGAAACCCTGTGGGGCAGTTCTGCTCCGTCCTATAGGGTCGCTATGAGTCGGAATCGACTTGACGGCAGTGGGTCTGGGTTTGGTTTATGTGGCTTAAACCAACAGAAGTTTGTTGTCTCAGAGTTCTGGAGGCTTCGTCTTGTTAGTTGCAGTCAAGTTGGCTCCGACTCATCATCGTTGTTATGTTGGAGCCCATTGTTGCAGCTGTTCTGTCAGTTCATCTCATTGAGGGTTCCCCTCATTTTCGCTGACCCTCTGCTTTAGCAAACATGATGTCCTTTTCTACTGATTGGTCTTCCTTGATGACGTCCAATCTAGAGGCGCGAAGTCCGGAACAAGGTGTCCACAGGGCCGTGCTCACTTTGCAGGTGGAAGGGAAGATTCTTCCTTGTCTCCTCCTAGCTTTGGGTGGTTCCTTGGTCATGTAGGGCTGCTCTAACAGAAATACCACAAGTGGATGGATTTACAAAGAGAAGTTTATTTTCTCACAGTCCAGTAGGCTACAAGTCCAAATGCAGGGCGTCAGCTCCAGGGGAAGGCTTTCTCTGTCAGCTCTGGAAGAAGGTCCTTGTCGTCAGTCTTCCCTCGGTCTGGGAGATTCTCTGCGCAGGAACTTCAGGTCCAAAGGACGCACTCTGCTCCCAGCACTGCTTTCTTGGTGGTATGAGGTTCCCATGTGTCTCTGCTCACTTCTCTCTTTTATTTCTCAGGAGAGATTGGCTTAAGACACTATTCAATCTTGTAGACCTCATCAGTATAAGTGCCACTAATCCATCTTATTACATCATAGTGATAGAGTTTACAACACATAAGGAGGTCACGTCAGATTACAGAATGGTGCACAGTCATACAACGCTGGGAATTATGACCCAGCCAAGTTGACAGATATTTTGGGGGGCACCATTCAATCCATGACAGATGGTTTCTGACAGTCCTTCACATTCGTTGGCTTGTAGATAACGTCACTCCAGTCTCTGCCTCCGTCTCACATGGCCATGTTCCCTCTGTCTGTCTCTGTCTCTTCTTATA